TCAGTGAATTATATCCAAAAGCAACCAGCTTGATTTAGTTTACAACAGTGAAAATAAAGCTAAATAACACAAAGGTTACCTGTTTTCTAGATTTGCCCATATATATTTATATGTTGCAATATTTCTAGAACTACCGAATACATTAGTTGCGTAGCTGGCGAGGCCTAGTCTCCAGTCTACCTTAATGTGCATCAGGCGAAAAGGCCTAGTTTCCGCTCCTCTGCTAACGAGCTTTCGAACATGGTCGGAAAGGCCGAGTTTCCGATCCATGTTCTCGAAGTCACTCATATGCTACCGCTCCCGCTCTATTTCGTGCTGGGCAAACCGTCTGAATGACCGTGTTCGAGCGATTTGCGTTTTCTTCATTCGTTACTTTCATTGCCACTTCTTCGTCGATGTTAGGCAGGCGGAAAGACCTCGTTNTGGGTTTCTGGGGTTGCTGATTAATAATCTGATGTCAGATTTTCAAAATTCAAAATGGCGGTTAAGAGTTTCAAACAAATCCAATCATTTTTTTAAAGTTGGTCGCCATTTGGGATCTACCATTTTTAATTTTGAAAATCTGACGCCAGACTCGTAATCAGTAACCCCAGAAAGCCACTGGAAACGTGCTAACCCTTGACAATGTTTAAAACGTTCAGTATCAACGTTTTAATTTTAGAAATTTTTTTTTAATTTGATCGCCATATTTGATCCGCAATTTTGAATTTAAAAAAATTAACTTCAGATTCGTAATCGGCGACCACAAAAACTCTCCAGTGCCGGGTTTCGAACAAATCCAATCATTAAAAAAAAAAATGGACCGCCATTTTGGATCCGCCATTTTGAATTTTGAAAAACTGCCTTCAGATTCCTAATTAGCAACCCCAGAAACCTCCTGGTAACAAGTTCCAACCCATGACAATGCGTAAGTCGTTCAGTATCAACGTTTTAATTTTACTAGTGTCTTTTCGAGAGCATATTTTCGGGAGCTAGACCCATTCTAATTGTCCAAGACAGGTGTGTAATTAAGGGAAAGTTCCCCAATAATACCAGAGTAATTATATGTAAAAACCACACTTTTAGCTGCATTTTAACATGCCATGAAAATAAAAAAATTGGGAACATCAGCATTTTTATAAAAACCGACCAGCGCGACCTCTAAGAAAACTTTTTTTTTTCAAAATAAAAAAATACGTGTCTCTTTTTTTATCACAAATAACAATATTCTGATGTAGCGTTTATGAATTTCCAAAAAGAGTGTTTTTATGAACCACTCTAATGTACAGATGTGCATATAGTAATTTAGCCTCATTTATCAAAATTCAATTAACGCACATTGCTTGGACGCATTTATCCGCGATGTGCACACTGCAAGCATCAACACAAAATGAGGTTGTTGTTTTTGTTTCCAATGCGATGCTCGCAAACCACGCTACAAACGACAACGTGAACTGCCCTACAAACGAGGAACATGCACCACAAGCCGAGCATGTGCGCGGATATGTTCGTCGTGTGTAGCCACTGTTACACGCGAAGCTCATTTAACAGATGCCTAAGGCCCTGTCTCCACAGGAAAACACTGATGTCGTGATAACCATGTCACAAAATATATTTCCAATGGAGACCGCCTATTTCTTATGTGCTGCAATATATGTCAGCGCTTATTGCTTGACATCTATTGCAGGCAATTCGATAGTTTGACAGCCATATTTTCATTTGAAAGAAAGCGTGCTGGTGGTAACATCGATGAAATTTTGATATTAAATCAAAATAAAAATCTGTTCCGTATTGGATAATTTATGATTACGTTTTAGGAAATTATTTANAAATTATTCATCAGGTTTTTTAAAGATTTAAATGTTTTTAAACACCGAAATTGAGAGAATGTTGTCTGGTGGCGTCATGCGGCAAATGCTTATTTCAAGACATCAAAGTGCCCACACACAAAAACTTGCAATCACATTGCTCGTCAAAATGACAGTTGGTAGGCCATCGCTGTTNGTTTTTAAACACCGAAATTGAGAGAATGTTGTCGGGTGGCGTCATCCGGCAAATGCTTATTTCAAGACATCAAAGTGCCCACACACAAAAACTTGCAATCATAGTTGCGATCCGTACGAGTCCGAACTAATCAGAATCAGTCCGATTTTGATTGAGAGGACAAAAAAGAGAGTAAATACGGTTCTCTCTCTGACAGAAGTTACCAATTTTAGTCCGAGAATTTTTTGCTGGTAAATTCTGGTAAATGTGAAACGATCAGCTGTAGTATGTTTGGCAACCAAATTGTAAAAGTTCACTCTGCTAATTCATGTTGAAAAGTATTTAATTACTTGTTTAAGTGGATTCTAATGAATTTGAAAGTATTTTTGGTGATTTACATGTGTGAGCTGAGTGTGTTTACATACAAAATAAGCAACAATTTACAACCAAAATTTGGTGGTTATGTTGAAGTTGACAGAAGTTACCATTTTTTACTGGAAAGCGATCCCGTACTTTTCAATGTTACTCTCTCGCTCTGAGCGAATTTTTATTTTTTGACAGTTTTACTAGTCCGAGTCCGAGGAATACGGGATTGCACCTCATATTGCTTGTCAAAATGACAGTTGGTAGGCCATCGGTGTTTGCCTGTGGAGTTCTGCGGTTATGTGACCACTCTCAAGCAATGCCAAGTATGCATAACAGAGCCTATAAGTTCTGAACACATTGAAAACGACAAGCTACGGGCAGCGACATCATCAATTTTTGAGTTTTAGCCAATTTACACGATGATTTTTCACGCTGGGTGGAAAGTCATGCGTGTCGAGCTTGTAGGCAAGAAGTGTACTGAAGTCAGCGGGGTAGGCAAGCACGCACGGTGAGCGAAATCGAGGGGTTTTTGAAACGTTTCGCTTTTATCGAGTTCACTTTTTCGTATTTTCGCTTTAAACTCGCGATTCGCTCCGCTTTAAAAATGAGGACGAATGAGTTGAGCAACGAAAATTTTACGCTTAAATGTTAAAAATACGGAAGAAACGCCCCAAAGAAAAACTCACCTCGTAAATGCACGAGGATTTTCGAAGACTTTTGAAAAGGGAACGTGCCAAAAACACAGGGTGAAAATTCGTCGCGTAAATCGGCTCTTTGACATAAAAGAAGAGGAGGAACCTTATCTGTCGCTGGAAAAATAGAAATAGATCTAATCGGGCCACAAGCACAGTCGTCGCGTAGCCCGGTCGTCGCCAAAATAATTATCTACATTAGAGAGCGTGTTAAAACAATTTGACAGCTGAGGTCCGTAGCTCATCGTTTTCATTGTGTTCGGGGTATAAGGCTTGAGCAGAGGGCTGCACTTTAAACGACGATATGTACGTACATACATACGCATGAGTACCTAGGTTTCATTTTACCTTCCTTTTATTAGCTCGGGATGTAACTATGTAATACTGATGCGCCTAAAAGATGCAGCGATTTCTATTCTCAAGTTACATACCTGACGACAGTACGAATGGCAATTATAATAGGGGTTTTGGTTTTTTAAACTATAATTTTATTTTACCGAGATTCAAATTTGAAAATAAATTTTTATTTACCTCCCTATTTTGTTACCTTTTTACCTTTTATTAGCTCGGGATGTAACTATGTAATATTGATGCGCCTAAAAGATGCAGCGATTTCTATTCTCAAGTTACATACCTGATGACAGTACGAATGGCAATTATAATAGGGAGGTTTTAGTTTTTTAAACTATAATTTTATTTTACCGATTCAAATTTGAAAATAAATTTTTATTTACCTCCCTATTTTGTTACCTTTTATTAGCTCGGGATGTAACTATGTAATATTGATTCGCCCAAAAGATGCAGCGATTTCTATTCTCAAGTTACATACCTGATGACACTACGAATTGACATTATAATAGCGAGGTTTTAGTTTTTAAACTACAATTTTATTCAATTAGCTACATAAACCGCATTGTTATGTACATATATGTGTCCTTGGGTAACGGAGGAAAGAATCGGTTGAAAAAAATGCCTGAGCTGCCGAATAACTATGTACAAAGCCAGGCGTAGTAAAATCGTTTATACACGTAAGCACACGATGAAAACACTCTTCATAAATAATTACGGGACGATACGTAGTATGTAGACGCGTGCATACATATTTGGATACATACGTTTACAGAGCGATTCGCAAATGCCTATATACTTTCACATATATGTATATATACATGCATGTAATATACGCAATTAACTCCACCGTTTACACGAAAAATCTTTTAAATAACGAAACTTTACCTATTTCCACATTTTCATTGTACTTGTATCATTAGATCTGGGGATATCTGATAAATTTTTTACCAAAATCGAATTTTCTTCGATAATTTGCAAGGAATGTGTGTGGATGTACACAAAGCCATGCACCACATTTTTTCATCTAAAGGTTAAAATACAACGAGACTTACCTTCAATACGAATTGAAGTCACTTAGTTATTCAATTAACACTATTTTTTAGCTATGAATTAACTTTTAAATATATTTTAAACCACTTTTTTCACGTAACACTCAACTGCGACGTCTACTTTCTCGATTTTGATGAAAAATGACATTGCCAAAATGGCGACCGATTGTCGCTGAATATGCTCACAATTTGCTGAACATGGTGTTGCCACAGACTTCACAACTTTTTCAAAAACAATTCGTGGTTATGTTTGCAAATGAAATTAAGGGTTATGGTAAATATTTGTTCAATTTATAAAATAGTGCACATTTTTCCGTAATTGTTTGGTATTTTTTAGTGTAATCACAAGGATATCGTTAATATTTTGTCAAAAGTTTGGCATTCAAAAAAACGCTGATTATTTTGAACTGGTAATTTGTAAAGAAGAAGCATTTCTAACTTGACAGCTTGTACAATTACTTCCGTCAAAAAAAAAAATTGTAGAACTACGTGGTTCTCAAAATTTGTGTGAATCTCGNCCGCTGATTATTTTGAACTGGTAATTTGTAAAGAAGAAGCATTTCTAACTTGACAGCTTGTACAATTACTTCCGTCAAAAAAAAAATTGTAGAACTACGTGGTTCTCAAAATTTGTGTGAATCTCGCGTACAAATGTATATTTTGTAAATTGTGTACCAGAAATGTCACTGACAAGCGAAGATACCATGTCAACTACGCATCCTGGCCAGCAAACTGAAAATGATTTTTATGGCAGAGCACAAAAATATTGGTCCGAGGTGCCTGCAACAGTGAATGGCATGCTCGGTGGACTGGGGTATCTGAATAGGATTGACATCCAAGGTTCCAGTAGTTTTTTGCGTGAATTAAAGGACTTGGATAGAAATACCGCACTAGATTGTGGTGCCGGCATTGGACGTATAACAAAAAACTTGCTACTGCCACGTTTTGAAACAACGGACATTGTCGAACAGAATGCCAGTTTCACGGAGAAGGCACGCGAATTTTGTACTGAAAATAATGAACACCTAGGTAGACTAGGGGAAATCTACACTATGGGTCTTCAAGAATTTACCCCAACAGCCGGTAAATATGATGTGATATGGTGTCAATGGGTTTTAGGACACCTTACCGAAAATGATCTGCTCAATTTCTTCCGCCGCATACGTAGTGGTTTGTCCACTAAAGGCTATTTAATAGTTAAAGAAAACGTCACCTCGTCCAGCATGGTCGAAGAAGACAAACAAGATTCTTCGGTGACAAGGCCTTTAAAGGCCTACGAGACAGCTATTAGAAGCGGAGGATTCCGGATTGTGAAATCCTGGCGCCAGCAGAGTTTTCCCCCAGGTTTATATCCAGTTTACATGCTGGCATGTCGCCCTACAGAGTGAAATTGTCTTTACAAATTTTAGCTGTACTATAGTATATAATAAAAAACATTGAAAATTAAGAAGTGTATTTTCATTTATGATGGTATGCATTAATTAATTTTTTCACTTGCATCTCTGCAATTTGTTGAGCGATACGAATAACATTTTAATTGTCAAACATTGTGAATTGTCATGAAAACTTAAGAGGAAGCAGTACTTTTTGTTTCTTTTTGCTACGTAGCGCATAGAAGTTGCGGCTGTGAAATTAATCGGTTAAAATATAGATTTGTTAGGCATTTTTGAAGAACAAATAAGCATGAATTCGCCCCCAGTATTTATTGACTTATCTTTGGATGAACAGGTAATCTGTGCTTTTTGGTAAATTTCTATTGCGAGAAAACTCCCTCTGTTTGAGGTTATGTTTCTGTATACGATGCAGCGAGGTGCTTTGATAATTTCAGTTATAACTATTGCAGGTGCAAGAGCTTAGAAAGTTTTTCAAAAAGTTAGGAGCCGAGATTTCTTCAGAAAAATCCAACAAAGGCGTTGAAGATGATTTGCACAAAATCATTGGTGTTTGCGATGTTTGCTTCAAAGACGGTGAACCCTCACAGATTGATGGCATCCTCAACAGCATTGTTTCCATTATGATTACAGTAGTAATAGTTGTCCTTTTACTGAACTCTTTGATAACTTTCTAATATATTTCAGATACCACTTGATCGCGGCGAAAACATTGTTTTGGCGTATTGCGAAAAAATGACTAAGGCACCAAATGTGCCTCTGGCTAAAGTTTGTTTGGAGTCATTGTGGCGTTTGTTCAACAACTTGGATACTGCATCTCCTTTGCGCTATCATGTTTACTATCATCTTGTACAGGTTGCCAAACAAAGTGATCAAGTTTTAGAAGTCTTCACCGGTGTTGATCAGCTGAAATCGCAATTTGCCAACTGCCCACCGTCCAGTGAGCAAATGCAAAAATTGTACCGATTGTTACATGATGTAACAAAAGACACCAATTTAGAGTTGTCGGCTAAGGTGATGATTGAATTGCTGGGCACATACACAGCTGATAATGCTTGTGTTGCACGTGAAGATGCCATGAAGTGTATAGTAACAGCACTAGCTGATCCCAACACCTTTCTGCTGGATCCGTTACTAGCGCTTAAGCCCGTGCGATTCTTGGAGGGCGATTTGATTCATGATTTGTTGTCAATATTTGTATCGGACAAACTACCATCATACATTCAGTTCTATGAAGATCACAAAGAATTCGTTACTTCCCAAGGTTTAAATCACGAACAAAATATGAAGAAAATGCGTTTACTGACTTTCATGCAACTGGCGGAGAGTAATCCAGAAATGTCATTTGAAACACTTACAAAAGAATTGCAAATTGCTGAGGATGAGGTGGAGCCGTTCGTCATAGAGGTGTTGAAAACTAAATTGGTGCGTGCCCGCCTGGACCAGGCCAATCGCAAAGTACACATTTCATCAACTATGCATCGCACATTTGGCGCTTCCCAATGGCAACAGTTGCGTGATCTTTTATACGCATGGAAGGAGAATTTGAGTACTGTGCGTGAAGGTTTGGTAAGTGTTTCTGCCGCACAGCTCGAGTTGGCCCGTAGTCAAAAATTGGTTCATTAACCAATCAACAACAAATAGCAGCAGATGAGATAACTTTGGTCTTTTATATTTAACAATGATATAAATAAATTTAATTCGAAGTAAGAAAAACAAAACTACTAAATTTTCATTTTGCCAACGTACAGTTAACTTATGGATATCGAAATCACTGCATATAAACGTATGTACATAAATATATATTACCATATGTACTAAATGTATTGTCAGCCTACGTACAATTAAGTACACACATTTGAATGCATATTTAACTTCCAAGGAAATCTAAACGGATATGTAATTTGCTACACAGACAGTTCCATAATGAATAAAATGGAATTTTAACCCAAAACCACAACCGACTTCAATGCTCACAAAAAATATAGGAGTACCATTAATTTCTTTATGATCCAATGATTACATTTAAACGAAATTAGTATGGATATTGAAGCCGTCTTAACAGCTAACAGCTCGACCCGCGATATCCCCAATGCTGGCCGGGCATGTGGAGGCTCCCCACGACACCAACCACCTCTTCACATGTTAGCTCAGACCCACTCAGTTAACACCCCTCTCCCTTTGGTTCGACCCCGACCAAACAGCCCGTTTCTTGGGCCTACCGTCATTTGAGCTCGAACCGACCTAGGCGGGTCATTCCAGCGCCATTACAACAACAACTGTATTGGATAACCCTGAGGGGCAACCTTTCCAACAACAAAAAAAATCATCGACTGCGCCTGTCGTCTTGTTCCATACAATACATACAGTGGAATTAAGTCTCTCCAAAGAATGCAGTTAATGAATTTGCTTTTTGCTTAAATTGTATTTTAAATTTATTATATACATTTAAGGCAACCTGTTAACTAAATACAATAAAACCAATATACATATGCACCCAAATCTATTGAAATTCATGCTATTAGTTAGAATGCTTCCTAAATTGGTATTTTTCTAGTTAGAAAGCATGTTAATCGAAATATTTACATTCTAATTTACTGTTGGTTTAATTCTAAACTATAAATATCCCTTATGGAAAATATTGCTTTGTTAGGAATAAGCCCGCCATTAATGAATGATGTCATTGCGCAGTACGCATGTTCCATTAAATACGTAAATATGTGCTTACTTTGGAAGTTATAAATTTTCCAAAATCGGTTTCAATCTTTCAACGATTGTAGACACTTCAGCCATTGCTCCAACGCCGGTGTCACCACACATTAAGGTCTTCGAAATACAAGGAACTTCAATGTAGCCCCAAGATTTAAGTTTACCAATTTGTTCATAAGTCAAGGGGTGGTCGTACATACGGGTATTCATTGCTGGACAAAAGAGCAACGGCTTGTGCAGATCCCAAGCGCGGACCACACATGTCAGCAAGTTGTCGCATATACCCTAAAAAATAGTTGTGAATAACAGATAAGCTAAAATTTAAATGATTCGTTCCATAAAAAACTCATTCCCACCGTAGATATTTTTGCGAGTGTGTTTGCGCTGAGCGGCGCAATAAGTAATACATCCGCCCATTTACCCAATTCTATATGTAATACCGGATCACCCCTCCTTTGCCACATTGACCATTCCGCGGCATCAATCAATACCTTTACGTTTGCGGGCAAAAGTGTGCTCTCGAAAAAGTGACGGGCATGTTGTGTGGGAACTATTTTAATCTGCAAGTAGTTTGCAAGAATTCTTTTAAGAATTCCCAATAAATGAAAATAATATACTTACGTTTATGGCATAATCTTGTTCAAACTCTTTGATCTTTTCGATAAGCAGTGGAAGTTTAATGGTAGCTACACTGCCTGTAACACCGATTAATATGTTTTTTTGTGGTCTCATCATGGTTTTTGTTGCTTTGTTTTACTATTTTCTGTGTATTGCACTTAATTTTTATTGGTATTTTCATTCGCATTCGCGTTATGCTCGTCTTCGAAACCTAGCTTGGACCATTGGGTCTGCTCCATCAAATTATTTTGCATACGACAACCCAGATACTCTTTAGCTTCCAGTCGGCACTTTGAGTTGTTATCGCTGTTGCGACGCAAACAGCTCATGTAAAGCAGATAGTACTTTTTGCAAATATTTTCGTGATCAAGTGGAAAGCTGCCTTTCTCCGGTGGTGTTGGTATGAATGACTTCTGATTAAGCGTATTTGAATTCATTTGACAAAGTAATGATGCGATAGCTACCTGGGAACGGGTTTACAAGCGATTACACAAATTTTACGTGAAACAAAAGTAGCAGTGACATCTGAAGGGAAATAGTTGTATATAAAATGTAATCACAAATTGTGATTCACAATCGTGGTCTGAAATTAACCCAGTACATAATATACGTATATCTAAATTGTGATTTTTGGCCATTTTTCTAAGGGACCGTAGGGAAGCATAGGGGGCCTAGGTTGTCCGGGGTTGCATTTTTGTCAATGGCGATTCAAGCCCTCTCCAAAAAGGTCGGTTGGAGGTGCCACACCGACTCCCCCTTCGCCCCCCGCACCTTTACCGAACGTCCATAATGGAAAGTTTCCCCCAAATTTTTACTGGATGGCGTTCGATAACGACAAAAAATTATCCAACACACAAAAATTGAGAGAGCAAGCGTTCATTTTGATGCACGAGAAGCGTTCATTTTGTACTGGCAAAATTAAATGGTTAGTCAGCAAAAATTATCCAACACGAAAACATATGATCACAAAACATATGGTTGCAATGTTTGTAAACAAACCAAATTGCATTTTTCGAGTTTTGGTATTTATATGCTTTTTGGCTGCCTGCTATGTGATTTTATGATAGTGCCAACTAGTTTTTACTCCTAGAAATGTTCCTGGCGAACATTGAATGTTCACTTTCCTTTTTTCTACCATGGAGGCAACATGAATTTCAGTTTGTTTACAAATAAAACATAAACTATGTTCACATTACCAACATAAAATATTTAGTTTCGTTTAAAATACCTCACTAAATTAAGTGCGTTCATACACGCGTTTCTTTATTTGTCTTGACAGCTTTGTAGCAACCCTGTGTTATTGTTTATTTAACGAAAAGAGATCGCGAATGTGAGTAATTGCGTATATTTTTATATTCTGAGTTGTTTGTGGTAATTTTTTAGATTTTAGATGAGTGATCAAAAGAGAAAGCTTCTGGAATTATTTTACAAACTACCACGCGCGATTATTAAAAACAAAAACGTCCAAACACAATGACATATCAGTTGTGGCACAATACTTTTTAACCGACTTCCAAAAAAGGAGGAGGTTATCAGTTCGTCGGAATCTTTTTTTTTTTTTTTGTATGTTACCGCATAACTTTGGACCACGTCAACCGATAATTCTTTTTGCATCGGAAAGGTAGTGTCTCAGAGGTGGTCCCATACTAATCTGGTTAAGATCCGATCAGTGGATCATGAGATATATATATTTATTTATTTTCAGTCTTGGAATACAGAATATTCTTACAGACTACTCAGCTAACACAAATTAAGTGCTACTAAAACTTAAAAATTAAGATAAATTTTAAATACATTAAGTTCACAAGAGCTAAGATTAAATACATCGCTAGTGGTGTAGCGCAGAGAAAAATGTTCGCAGATGAGTAACCAAGGCAGGGCCTGATTGTGAGAAATCAATGTCCAAAGCATTGAAGACTAGGTTAAGTTCAGCACACGTTCTAGAGATCGGAGCGTTGGCACCATAACTGCTTCTAGAGAAACCTATTTTAAAGAAATCCCAATGGCGGAGGATTCTAGAGGGAATATTAAATGCTATCTTTTCGCTATCGAGAAGGGCAGTCAATTCAGCCAGTTATGATGTTAACGACAAACGTGCACGCTAAAATGGATCTTCTGTTATCCAGTGTTGAAAGGTTGATTAGTTGGCAGCGAGAATAGTATGAAGGTAGTGGCAAAGAAAAATTTAATGAACGGAGAGCAAATTTTATAAAAACTTTTTGAACACGTTCTAATCGTTTAGATAGAATTTTAGTGTAAGGCCTCCAAATAAACGTTGCATACTCCAGTCTTGACCTGACTAGTGCACAAAACAGAGTTTTAAGAGTATAAGGGTTCGTAAACGCCTGACAGTTTCGGCGGATAAAAGCTAACATCGAGTATGAGCGCGAAAGGATGTAATCGACATGACTATTGAATGCGAGTTTGGAGTCAAAGACAACACCAAGGTCCTTCATTTGGGTCACAGATTGCAAAACAGAGCCAGAGATAGAATATGATGTATGCAAAGTATTGAGATGTCGACTGTAAGAAACCTGAAAACATTTGCTGATATTTAGCGTCAACTGGTTTTTGCAGCACCATTCATGAACTCTGTTCAGGTCCGATTGCAGGTTGGCTGAGTCATAAAGGTTTTTGATAGTTGCAAATATTTTAAGGTCATCAGCATAAAGTAGGTAATTAGCAAATTTGAAACAAGAACTGATATCGTTGATGAAAAGCACAAAAAATAGGGGACCGAGAATGCTGCCTTGAGGGACACCCGAGGACGCGATGAACGGTTTTGAGGTTGCATTATCGACTACTACAAAGCAGCGCCTATCAGTTAAGTAGGATTTAACCCAAGACAAAAATGTCGAATGAAATCCAAAAGAGATCAGTTTCAGCAGAAGTAAACGATGTGATACTTTGTCGAAAGCTTTCGAGAAGTCAGTGTAGATGGTATCCACCTGAGCTTTGTTTTCAAAAGCAGATAAGCAGTAATCACTGAAAATAGCCAAGTTTGTGACTGTTGAGCGGTTAGCGACGAACCCATGCTGATTAGTAGAAATTAGGTTTTTAACAGCAAAAGACAGTTTACAGCTTACAACAATCTCAAATAATTTGGAGACTGAAGATAGCTTTGATATCGGTCTGTAGTTGCGGACATCATTTTTGTTCCCACTTTTAAAGATAGGGGTTACAGACGTTTGTTTCCAGTCGTCCACAAATATGCCCGAGGCCAGAGAGTGATTGAAGATTGCAGTAAGAGGCTCAGCTAAACATAGACAGTTTTTCAACAGAAAAGCCGAGAAACCCTCTACATCGCCTTGTGAAGATGGCTTAAGATCACCAATTCCTTTGATAACGTCCTCGGTTGAAATGGTTAGCGAACCAAAATTCAGCGAAGAGTCACTAGAAGAGCTAGAGCCCGTTATATTCGAGTCCATGTCATTGACAAAGTTAGCGCAAAAAAACTCAGCGAATAGGTTTGCCGAGTCAGAGGCTGAATTTGCGGAGCGACCATTGTAGAAAACATTTGTTGGAATTGATGAGCACGATTTTCGGGAATCAATGAAACGCCAGAAAGATTTGGGATTCGAGATAATATTCGCTTCAAAGTTTAAAATATAGTTTCGGTATAAAAACTTGTTCAAACAATTAAATTCTTTTAGAAAGTACCGGAACTTAAGAAGATGCGCGGAGTCGTTTGAGGATTTATACAATTTGCTAAATTTGTTTTTTAAATTTTTTAGATGCTTTAAACGCTTCGTGTACCACGGTAGTTTGTACACCTTCTTCTTAAGAATAGGGATGTACTGTAGGCATAGCTCATAGAGGGTGGTCTTAAAAATACGGTAACAAGAGGTTACATCACTGCCACGGAAAGCATAACTCCAATCTATATTTGATATGGCATCATTTAAGGAAGAAAAATCACACGCTTTATAGTTAAAATTAATACTGCGATCATCCGGCAATGAATCATATTTTTTTATATGAGAGTTGAAGTCGGTTTTTTTTTGCTAAAAATTACTTGTTTCGATTATTATCGATAAAATTAGAACCGACACTGATTTGTTCGTGATTTGGTTCTTGGTTTAAGATAAACTATACTTTCATCTTAATTTACTGAGAGACTTTACGAGGGGAAATTACTTAGTTTGTACTTAATTTATGCGTAAATTAAGATTGACCTCTAAATTACGCCAATGGGAACATAGTTATAAACAAAGTCAGCTGGTGTGTCTTGTTCTTCCGGTTTTTGCAAGTGATGGCTAATTTCCTGTTCGTTTACTTTTTTGCTTTTTCTTCTCTTTGGGAGAGAATTTTCGCTTACGCTCTTGATTTTGATTGTTGGCTGGTGTTGGCTAAATTTGTTATCGAACGCAATTAATGTCAGTATCGATATATCCAGTATTTGTCCTTTTGCCAATCTCGTTTTTTTTTCCATATCGAGTATGACATATAAATTTTATCATTAGTCCTCTTTCAGACACTTCAAGTCTTGAAAGAAATCTTACCGTATTCTCTTTTGTGTTTTCTATTTTATTTTTAAATACGTATATTAAAAATGAAGTGATCAATTCATGAGCCAAAAATACAAGATCACGCCTTCTTCTTAGTGGCCCGTTATAATCGCATTTAGGAAAAAAGTTGGGCGACTTTGACATTAGCCGTTTATTTACATTTGTTCGTTGTTTACAATTTGGTGGTGCTTTTTTACTGCAAATTTCATAATTTTCGCTTGTGACAACGTGTGCACACATAAGGTAAAGAATAATAGCAATATGCAATAGCTTACAAAAATACAAAAGTTTATTATACGAGCATTGCAAAAAACACATATAAGATTGCTATTGGGCCTCCCCATTCTAACAAGATACTAGCATATGAGAGGAGTGGATCGGAAACCCGGCCTTTCCGACCATGCCCAACAGCTCGTTCGTAGTACGGAGCGGAAACTCGGCCTTTCCGACTATGGTAAACGCCTTTATTGACGCAGAGCGGAAACTAGGCCTTTCCGCCTGCTGAACATAAAGATAGACTGGAGACTAGGCCTCGCCAGCTATCCAACCCGAGGCTATAATGTACGTATAATTAATTAATTAATTGTACAATAAATTAATATGTATAAATTTATAAAGTATGTATTTGAAAATAAGTAAAAATTAGTAAAGAAAATAAGAAAAATGTTAATGTATAGTATTAGTAGAAGAGCAATCAATTAAATTAAATAAGTTAATAATGTAATTAACAAGATTTTTTATAGGTCTTAAAGACTGTCAATAAATAAATAAATAAATAATTTAACACAACGACATGATTTATAGAAGAATTCGTATAATAAAAATGATTATTCATGCGTTCAACAACGAAAGACACACGCGCTCCCGAAAGAAAGAAACAAGTTATTTGCTAGCTGTCGGAATCCCGGCGCCATCTTTGTTGTAAGAAGTAAACAACGAAGAGAACAAAAAAAAACGCGTAATTGTTGAACACATGAATAACCATTTTTATTCTACAAACTCTTTTATA